CCTTTTAAGTCGGGTGGCGTGGCGATGTTTCTAGTCTGTGATATTACAGCAATTTCTTACATTTTGTGAGACAGCTATTCCACAACCATTTGGATGGCTTTATTCCTCTGGATAAAATGCTTGCTTTAAAAATCATCCTTAGTAAAATATTCTGGTATTGGAGAATGGAGCAGTAGCTGATCCTTCATCTGAGGCTGTAAGGTGCTGTGCTCTTGTGAATGCTGTTCCCTAGAAGCCTTTTTTGCCTGCTGCTGGAGGAGGAATCTGTGCAGCACTGAGATGCATTCAAACTGACGTTTCTCCACAGGCCAGTGGCATTTTGCTTCCACCAGAACGCGCCGAGAGAATTGTCCCATCATCCCTTGGTGCAGCGAGGCAGTTTGCTGCCGGTTCTCTGGCTCAGTCCCGCTTTCCGAAGAGGGATAGAGTCAGCGTCAGGGGCAGAGTGGCGGTGATGGTGCCTCTGTATCCCCAGGGCCCTGTTTGTCCTGTGTCCATCTGTCCCTCTTGAAGAGGAGGATCATGGGATAGTGTTGGCGCCTCTGGGCCCGTGACGTTCAGGTCTCCCAGAGTGGGCACTGGGGTGGTGCCCCTCAAGTAGGTGCTAAACGCCAGCCGCTCTCGAGCATTATACAGAATCCCACCTCCGGGTCCGGCGAAATTTACAATGAAAAAAACCAAACACACAAAAGTCACGTCACAGTCTGCCCTCACACTGTGGGCTCATGCAGTGGCGGCCAGCTAGCGGGCTTCACGCGCCTGAGAATCGTTTCAGACATGCCTGAGGCTCGTGAGCAAGCGCAGACATCTGGCGGGGTTTCCCACTGTAGCAGACCGCCAACGGGGATCCGCCCAGTGAAACCGTGTCAAGTGCGCTCACCGCTCCATAAACACCATAGCAAATCTGCAAAGAATGTGAAGAGCCGTACAGATGCTAACAAGCCAGTCCTACCTCTGCAGCTCTCCGTTTTGAAGAAAGCAGTCAGGTGATCAGTGTTGAGCCAGGATATAGATTTTTGCTTCAGGTTAATAACTGATCTGCCATCCTTTCCAAGGGAATTTTTGCCTTTGCCAATGAAAACATCGGGAAGAAAACCATTGTTTTACTTCATGCTGCACCGGGACTATAAAGGACCGGGCTGTATCAGTAGGAGTACATACTGTAAGTCTTGTGCGGTTCCATTTGGAATTTGATCCCCTGTCTCACAGAGACGACGAGTCCTCGGAGGTCCTCGGCCAGTTCTGTGACTTGGCAAGGATGAGTTTACTCTTGTTCTCTGCGTGTGAACGTGTGTCATACAGCTTGTTCAGGTGTGTTCATGCATGAGATTGGGCTTAATTATTCTCCCTCTAAGGCAGACGAGTGGTGCTGTTTAGGGCTCAGTGCTGAACGGGCTTATTTGATTAGCTTTCACTCTTTCCATCTCGGAGACGAGGGAGTTTCTCAGGAGCCTTACTGTAGGTGCTCATGTTCCTCGCCTGACCTCTTAGATAATCTAGGAGCGATGAATCTCCGCCAGGGCTGAACTCAGAAGGCTGGAGGTTGAAGTCCCAGTGTGGCTGTCAGCTGGAGCCAGGCGTTTTTTTTTCCCTTCACCAATCAAGATGGATTTCAGCCCACTGACGGACCCCCCGCAGGGCCATGCCAGGAGTGTTCCACAGGGATGAGCACAGGAGACTGGAGACCCTTCCCTTCTTCTTAGCCTGCTCTCCGCAGATTCCTGCAGGCAGTGCGCGTTCCCAAAGAGATCAGCCTAGAGAAAAGCCCTTTAAGGTCCGTGAGCATTGGTAAACTTCTATCGGAGCGACTGATCTGAAGGATAATGGGTGGGGTTGCATAAACTTAATAATTCTAGTTTTATCCATGGTTCAGCAGCATTTAAATGTTCCTCATTGGGATTTAAAGAGATGGAAACGTGCCAGTCTTTCATTTATGACCCCGATAGTTATATATCCAGGAGAGTATCATTCAGGCAGTGCAATCACCATTACGGGTTATAGCATTTTTTGGTTATCAATGCGAGTGGTCTTGACTGCAATAATAAAACATCATTAATTAGAAATAGGAAAAACATAACCTTGAAATCCCAAAACGGCACATCAGGAGACCCCACAACTGAAACGCTGTTTTGCTCTTATTTTTCAATGTGGAATTAACGTTGGTCATCATGTTCCTAAGAAAGGAGGATGTTCATTATTGTAATCTAGACATAGAATGTTTGTTCTAAATGAAAAATGCAAAGTAGCCCGCGAATATGGATGAGTTCACTGTTTGCTGACTTTTGTAATGTCTTATTTTGGATTTCTTTTTTACTACTTTGTACCTCAATGTAACTGTGACAAAACAAAACATTTCTCCTGTAAATGTTTGAAGCAAATGGAATTCGCTTAAAACAAAAAGGACCTTCCTGAAATTTTTAATTGAAATTGGATTTCGCTATATTTCATTGTTGTCATTAATAATAGAAATTAGCAATAGCAATCTGAATTAGCTAACTTTTTTCAGTGCGACCCACAGAAATATTATTGTGTAGTAGCTGCAGGGAAAACAGGTTTAATTTCATACAGCAGTTTTGACAGTTTTATTTAATCAGGCAAGGAAACATATTTGGTCTTCCTTATTTTAGGCACTGTAGTTAATCAAAAGCCACACTCCAAGCCTGAATGTGACAAGATTATTATATAAGTTATTGCTTCTAAAAAATGCATGACTTACCATTGACACATTGACCAATACAGGAAACCTAGCAATTAACCTCTCTCTTCTGATGCCTGCCACCTTCAAACAGGTTAAAAATGATTTTCTGACGTGACAGCATTAATAAAATAATTTAAAGAAAAAGAAATTTGGGATCAAACCACAACAAAAGTAGAATCGACACAGTAATTTGTAAAACCTCCAGTTGACATCACAAGGTACAGTAGGTCAAATTTCCAGATATGTGCAGCGCCATATTCTGAGACTCAGAACGAGGCAACAAGACATGCAGTGAGCAGAAGTGACACTGTGACACTGTAAACAAGCAGGCTTGTGAATCCAGCTCTTTTAATCCAAATAATTATTGCTCCTGACTTTGAGACGGTTTGGCCGGCAAATACTACTTATTAACAGGCTGCAAAGGAGCAGGTAAAGGTTTATTCCACGCTGAAAAGAAAAGAGATGCAATGTTTCTTCTGGTGGTCCTGTGTTTGTCTTCTACCTGTCCCTTCTTCACTCGTGCGTCACATTGCACTAGTAATTACAGTGACTAGTGAGCAGGAAGGGCCAGCTCATATCGCCGTTCTCGCAAAGTCTCGCTCTCCTGTGGTGACACAAGGGGTTTGCCACAACATTGAGTCCTTTCGCAACTTTGGGAAGTTTTGCGAGACCGCCAATTGAATTGATTTCCTTACTGAAATGTAATAACCGGTCGAAGAAGTTGGGACCACAGATCCCCTTTGACACGGTTTCTTCCGATCGCATGACCGAGGCGGCAGCTGTACACAGGAATCGCAAAATCTGTCCATCAGTCTTCAGTCTGCTTTTTCAGATGAGGGCCAGTGCAGAATCACAATAGCCCCTGTTTAACTGTATAATAGTCTGCTGGTCTCATAACATAGTATGTGGTACTGGACGTTTAGGAACTTGAACTTGAACTTAATTGCCACATGTAACTGGTACAATGGAATTCTTACTTACAGAAAGTCTCTCAATTGTAAAACAAGTGTAAAAACAAAAAGTGCAGACAGCGCATCAAGACAATATACAAACAAACAGTAGACAATGCACAAGTAAACAAGTAAACAGTTTGAATGTAAATAATGCAGACATGTAAACAATGACTGGAGATGTGCAAAAAATAAGAAATCATAATGAGGTAGGTGGTGTAGGTGTGATCCAAGGGGCATGGCCAAATGTGTTCCACAATCGCACTGCTTGTGGACAGAAGCTATTGAAGAATCTAGTGGTAAGTGTCCGTATGCTCTAGGATCTCTTGCCTGAGGGCAGTGGGGTGAAGAGCTCATGCCTGGGGTGGTGACTGTCCTCTGTGATGGCCAGAATTCTTCCACGGCAGCGGTCCTCATAGAGCTGTTTAGTCTCGGTGAGACCACAGCCGATGATCTTCTGGGCCACATTGACCATTCTCTGTAGTGCCCTTCTTTCTCGAGAAGAGGTGTTGCCATACCACACGGTGATCCCGTTGGTGAGGAGTTCCCTTAGCTGCGGTGTAGCTATGCCAGTACTGTTTTGGCACTGTGAAATGGCATGGATGCCCCGTGAATTGAGTCAGTACATGAAGCCACGTCTTTTTTTTTTTTTTCCTCCGGAGCGTCGGCCCCACAAACGCATGACGGGCCTTCCCCAGCCCCAAACCCTGCAAAGGAGAAAATTCTCCTGTTCCACCAGAGGTATAAAGCTCTCACGGTTATCCTCTCCAGCCACTGAGTATATGAAGGCACCAGCTGGTGGGACATGCTCTTGAAGCGCCCTGGTTAATGTTCAGTGTCAGCTTAGTCGCAAGCAGGTTTCAGGGACAAACAGTTCCTGGATGTGTTCTGTCACTTCCTCTTTGAAAGTGCAGTATATGCTGCCTGTAACTTTTGCGGTGTGCTTTCGCGAGCACGTGTGTTCGTGTGTCTGACTTTGTTTTTGCACGTGTGTGTACAGTGGGTATTGACAAAAGAACCGTTACAAAAAAGAAGAGGCCGTTCAGCCCATCTCTAGCTTGTTAGCTTATTGGTTCATCCAAGCTGTTTCTTGAAAGAAGTCAAGGGATCAGGTTCAGCTACATGGCTGGCTAGGTTGTTCCATCCTCCCACAACCCTGGGTGTAAAGAGCATTCCGTTAGGAGAAAAAAGCTCTTTTCAGCAAGCATTGGGTCTGAAAGAGAGCTGAAGGCAGTTCATTGTTCACTTGCTGTAAAGTGTACCAGTGCTGGTCTCGGTTCATTCCTGCTTTTTGCCGAGAGTTTTTCCAAGCGCGTTGTAAACCTGTGCTTCGTTTGTGATGTCCCTCCCAGGAGTGAACTGTGAGCAGGAGGCGCCATGTCTGCTCCAGGTGCTGAGGATGACATCCCTCTCGGCGAGAGGAAGACCGTCACGGACTTCTGCTACCTGTTGGACAAGTCCAAGCAGCTCTTCAATGGACTGAGGTCAGTGCAGGAGCCTCCCTCTCTCTGGAAGTCCTTTTTCTTCCTGTAGGCCGTTAACGCTCCGTTTTGAACTTCAGGTGCTGCTAGGTGGAGTTACGCAGGCTGGAATGAGCTACCACGGGTTGTTTTCCTAGTGTAACTCAATTCCTGTTGCGCATGACCACTGTTAAAGTGGTCATTGTCATTGTCAGCTCTTAAAAAAGCCTATTTTAACCCTGAGTTAATGAATGAGCTTCAGAACTGCCCTCCTTCAGGTGTTTTAGCTGAAATATAGCCAGTCGGTCTTAAGCAGAAGGAGGAACACTGAGTCACTGTGGAAGTTGTCTGCCAGTGTCGTGACCCACCCTTGTCTGTTCATGTGGCCTGTGCCACAGTGTTCACACATTGTTTTATTCTTGTATTCCCTTAATAGTTGAAATAGTTCTGGGTTTTAGCTAACCTGCAGGGCTGGCATTTCAGATTCATTGAGCCCAAAGGACCGCACTTTCTAGACTCATATTATACAGAAATATTATGTATCCAGTCTGGATCAGAAGCTGAATTCTCTTTACATTAACTTGCTGAATAGCTTTTGTCTCCCTTTTATCTCTAAACATGTGCTTGTAATAAAACATGCAGATTTCCAGCAATTTGAAAGCCAGTGAAGCATAGAATGGAGCCATCACCAAGGTTTATCTTTTGCTTTGCCTTCTCTAATAAAAGGCATGCTGGCCACCATCCAGAGTACAACAATTGCTGTGCACTGTCTTCATATACAATACCTTTTAATTTTGGGATACATCAGATACATCAGGTCTCTGTGGTTTGCAGGGCAGCAAACACACAGCGACTGAAACTGGAATTCTGTAGCAAATATCACCAGTTTCTTTCTATAGCACTTAAATAAATGGCGTGAAACGTGCTCTTTTGTGGAAAGAAAAATTAAGATGAATTAATAGATTTGAATGTTTTTGGCAGTGGATCGAGGTGTGAGGCAATGAAAACTAACAGTTGGCAAATGCACATTTGCATAGTTTCCAGCATTCCTCACAAACTGGGAAAAATACTTCACTGTGTAAAGCTGCTTAATTTGTGCAATCAGTGCTCTCACGCAGTGAGAGCCCACATGAGTGATGCTCATCAGTGGAAATGTCTCGACTAATTGTTAATTATTTTTCCTGCAGCGGTGCTTGTCTTTTAGCGCTGGCATTATCATTAAAGGGCAGCACGGTGGCACCATTGCTTTTATAGCATTGCCGCTTCGCAGTGCTGGGGCCCTGGGTTCAGTTCCGGATTTGGGGTGCTGTCTGTGTGGAGTCTGCGTGTTCTCCTGTGTTCTCTTGGGATTCCTCCAGCTGCTCCCGTTCCCTCCCACAGTGCAAAGGCACGCTAGTAGGTAAATTGATTCCTGGGAAACTTGGCTCCGGTGTGAGTATCTGTATTTTTAGTTGGGTGAAGGTATGTTTTTCCTCTTATGAGGGGTTCCTACCAGTTTGGACATGGCCCTTTTTAAAAAACGTTTCCCCTCCCTCGAAGAGGTCCCCTACTTAGACCAGCATGGCAGGCCCTGATTTATATTACCTTGTTGTTTGGCAAAAAGTCCCTGCTCTCTCCTGTGAAACACGTCGAGCTGTATTTCAGTGTCCCTTGGTGCCTGGGGTGCATTAGAGTTAATCAGCCATTTTTAGTGGGTGCCTATTTTTAGCTGAGGCATGTCGGTTGCTTCAGGCAGCACTTTCCTGCACTTTTGCTCTCTGCTCTGACAAGCAGCCAGGCCAGGAGTCCGTGGAGTAATGTAATGGGTTTTCTTTTTGTGCACGACTCGCTGGGTCGTTGGTGTTCCCACGAAGGATGGACGTTTTAGGTCTTCAACCTTAGCTCCCATTACTGCGCCGTTTTGGAGTGTGGCGCCATCCATAGAAGCAAAAGACACGCTTTGAGCGCCGGGATCATGAGCAGGTGGAGCTCGAAACCGGGGCGAGTTTATAGCATAGGCACCATCGGTTCTGAGTGTGCTCAAGCACCGCCAATAGTTCTGAACCCATTCTTGTTAAAGAAGGGATTTACGTTTCATATGTGTGGGAGGATTGTGTCCAGACAATGCTTAATACGTCTTGTTCCAGACTCCACCACTGCTTGGATAACCAGAAACTTTAATTCCTGACCCATTATACAGTGGTGACAACCTGGACTGGACCTGGACTGGCGCATGTCGGTTCAACATTTAAAAACTGTGGCGTGCCCTTAGAGGTATAGATTCAAAGCGCAGCAGATAGGCCAGGCTCGTTAGTGCGTTAAGGTAAGTTGCAGAACCTAAAGAGGCAGCTGGAGTTGACACATCCCCTGGCGACGCTGCTCAATCTTCCTGAGCCTCTGCAGCTGTAGTGAATCAGGACCTCATTGTGCTCGCACAGGGGTTGTCCCCAAGCACGCCTGCTCTTCTGTGTGTGTGTGTGTGTGTGTGTGTGTGGAGGGGGGGGCTTCATCGTCTAACCAGCTGAGCAGCGTCTTGTCAGCTTGGCTGGGCAAATCAAATCAAGCCTTTTCATTGCTTCTGCCAGGCTGATCTTGTCACAGGTTGTTTCTGAATCACACGTTCACAGTCCTTCATTCAGCTCAGGGCGACTTTCACGAAAATGCCCTGTGTCACAGTGGGTTTTTTTTGGGTAGGAACGTTCAATGCAAACTGAACACAATTGAATGCCAAGTGATCTATCATTTTGCTATATCCGTGTGATTAGTGGCTGAAGGATTATGTGCCCGAGCAGAGTAAAACACACAGTGACTACAGTCTTCACAGTGGTGTTTCTTCACACATTATTCAAAAGCCTGCCCACTGTAGTAACCATGTTAAGGTGGAAGGGGTACATCATAATTGAGTTTAAGAAGTTTCAATTTGTGTCACTTGAAAAGTAATACTGTGTAACGTCGTTAAAGTTTTAGAGACTCCAGATATTTTTAATGAATGAACCAAATCTTTCTGCGGACCAGCAAACTCAATTACAGGCTTAATTTACTCAGACTAAGAAACATAGACCCGTCTTCTGTTTCTGCAAAATAAAAAATAAAAAGTTCCATTTATTTTTTCCATCCTGTTGTGATGTAATCTGCAATTTTCATTCATCTTCTTTCACTATGGCTATACGTGTCCTGCAGAGGAGCTGTGGAGGTGAGGATCACTTTGTGTCTGTAGTGTGTGCTGTCAGTGAGGTTCTGATTGTGATTTCACCTACCGTAGATGTCATGTAGAATCCCTGTTTCCCTTTCTTGGAACTGGAACTAATTGTTATTAATGGGAGCCTCTTCAGCAGTAGCATAAGCTGCATTCTGTAATCACAGTTTATCAATTAACATAGCATTGTTCCCAATTTACACAGCACGATGCTTCCAAAGTGGCAAAGATAGTCACAGCTCAGTGTGCCTCTGTAACCGAGTGTTAAAAACCAGACCGAATGTGTGATGATAAATGAATGTCATTGTGTCAGGAGTGAAAACAAGGTTTTTTCAGATAACTATTTTCAACTGTGACCCACTGGGGCTGTTCGGAGTGTGACGGAGTCTCTCCAGGTGCTCTACATGGTGACATAACCCACACTTCAGAAGGCAGCTCCGGGTCTCTGAGCACTTCAAAGCTCATGTTAATGAAGCTCGGTGGTCAAGAGGCAGAGATTGCACAGTTTCCTGCCAGCGATCTCTAAAGCAGCCTCCCCAGACTGCTACCGAAACCCAGCCTCCACCTATCAGCCTGAGGCTCTTTATATCCTCAAACAGCGCACGTCACACCCATGTGTACTTTTGAGCCTGTCACCAGTTTAATTAATTAGCTGATATTGCAGGCCAGCCTGCTAGCTGTACAGTCACTCAGTGGGTTGGATCGAAAGCCAGCGCCAGCTTCTGTTGCTGTGAGGGGCTTTTGCTGTCTCTTTTAGACCAGTGACCAGGCTGATAACACTCGCAGGCTTGTTTTCTTCGTTTTGACTCGATTTTGGTTTTTTATTTCTAGTGGGGGGGTGAGGGGGAGCCCAGCGGTGACGTTGAGGGCCGGCATGTGTTCGGGGGAGATACCGCCTCACCGCCACCCCAGCTAGTGCCAGGACACAAGGTTTTCTTATCGGAACTCTCCCCTGGTGTTTGGAGAGGCGGCTGGCACTCTTAGAGTCTGTGTTCTTCTGAAGTGGAGCTCTGTTCGGTTTAGCCCGAGAGAATCAGTGGGACTGGGTGCCCCCCTTGCCCAGTGCCTGAGGTCAGAAAGCTTCCAGGAAGGCCTGTAATCAGTGCAGCAGCACTGTTCTTTCCTGCCTTCACTGACTAAAGCAGCTGCCAGGGCTCTCTGATGCCCGGCTCCTCTCTCTAAGGTCTTGGATCTTGGGTGGGCCCACAGACTCTTCTTCACTGATGTTAAAGGTGTCCAAGTCACTCAGTGGACAATCTACTGTTGTCTCGCATTCCATACCAGCTGCTCACAGGCTCAGCAGATTACAACACCAAACCAAAAGTCCTGCATCTCTTCCTCGACACTTCTACACTGCCTGCGTTTCGGAGAGCAGGAGGTGACGTGACCTTTGTAAGTCGGTCAGTGCACTAAGCCCCGTTTACATTTACAAACTTCAGAATAAGCTCAGAGGGTAACTTCTCATTCTTGCAAGTTGACGGAGACCTAGACTTTCAGTCTTTGTGGACGGTGCTGTTGTTCAAGGAGACTTCAATCCACTATTTGATGCCGCAATACCAAGTACGTTACTGTCCCTTCCTTCTGCCTCTGAATAGTTTTGAATATTTGCACTTGGCTAAAATGACCGTGATGCTTGGAAGTTGATGATAAATAACGGGGTAGAAGATGTTGCATTTTTGACTTGCATATAGAAAATAAAGTTAATAAAGCAGACTTTGTTTTGGGCCGTCACGCATCTTCTCAAATGTGTACTGTCGTCCTCCAGCGCTTTTCCCCTCTTAAGCCCAACAGCGCCAACAGCGGAATCGAGAGTTGCATTAAGGACTGAGGCAACACTCACTGATAACACTTGCGGCTTGCAGGCACCTTAGCTTGTGCAGCAGTCCAAA